AAGTAGGAAGAAAATAAAAAAAAAAAAACAGAAAGAGAAATGACCCCCAAACACTGACAAGTTTAACAACTAGAATCTGTCTCAATGCCTATCATACTTTATACAGATCCATTTCTGAAAGAGAATGATTCTCTTTTCAAAATGTGTTCAAAAGGGAATGCTAATTTGCATTTGTTTCGACCTTTTAAATTTTACCTCAAACACTGTCCTATCTTAGAGAGAAAGGAGAAATAAAAAGAATCTTCTGCTCTTCAGCAACAACAAAGCATTCATGGAATCTTTCCTGAAATCAAATAGGCGAACTGAGCTCAACAATCATGGAAAGAGAATTAACAGATGTGACAATTAAGCAGTAATCTTGAATATCATTTTTCTTCATGTGAATGGATTTATAAAAAATCAAAATAGCAACCCATATTCAACTTCACAAGATAAACATTTAGGGAAGTCCTAAAGAAAAATATGGTGATCCTTCTTGCCCATGTCCCACTCTACCTGAGGTAACCAGTATTCAAGTATTCATTTCTACATTTCCCTATTCTCATATAGCCCTATCTGGACATACATGGGCTTATCTTTTACTTAATATATCAGAAGTATAAAACATATAGATTAACTCACATTCAGAAATACTGAGATAAATAATATTTCCTCAGATGGCTGTGCCAAATTTTAAACAACCAGCCTCATTTTGAGGGAAATAATTTAATTAGCTAGTCTACTGACAAAAATAGAAAAAAAAACTTACTGTAGGATATATTTTGGACATCAACTTCTAATTCTATCTCTAAATTATATCAAATCCATTGAACTTTCTGTCTCCCCATCTTCACCACAGGCCAACCTATCATCATCACTCACTGGGACTATTCCAAGAACTTTCTCCTCATATCTATGCCTCATCTCTTCCTAGCAATCCATTCCTACAGAGGAGGCAGCACCATCTCTTAAAAACCTAAATCAGATAAGTCACACACGTTTAAAAGCTTCCAACTCTTCTTGTTGATGTGCGAAGAAAAATCCAAACTCCTTCCAAAGTTCCAAAAGGTAAAAAGCTTCCAGAGGGCTTCTTCCTGGTCCCTGTCTGAGCCTCCAACCTTATGACTTGGCCATATTCCCCCTGACACCCTGGCTGCTTTTTTTCCCCCCCACTTTGGAGCCCCAGGTGAACGTTATTTACTTCTTTGCTGCTTACCCCTCTCAAATATAAATACCCCGAGAGGGAAGATGTTCTCTCCTTTCCTGCCATATTCCTGGCACCAAGAACAGTGCTTGGCATATAAAATGTGCTCAATAAATATATCAAATAAATGTACAAATCAGTCAATTTCAAACAGACTATGTTCTGTGTACTTTCTGATTGAGAGCTCTCTTCCCTCTGTTGAGATAAAAAGAAAAGAACTACTGACTTCATAATTTCATGGCCTGGATTTACATCCCAACTCTATCTTTTGCTAGCAAGTAATTGAATTCTTTAGGCCTCAGTTATATGTCGAAAATGTGTAATGACCTAGCTTTCAGGTTTGCAAAGATCAAATGAGGTTAATGGATGTAAAGGCATTTTAAAAACTCTAAACTCTAAAATATTACATAAATAAAAAAATAAAAAGGTTATATAACTGTTATTATTTCAATAAACTGGTACACAAATAAGTAATGAAAATATCAATAAGTGAATTAAATTGGACATTTAAATTATTTAAATAATGTATACATGTCAAATAAGAAAACAGAAGTTTTACCTTTTTATAACTGGATATTCTCTGACATATGTGCTCAATTTTTTCACTGCAAAAGGCACTGAATTTATTATGAAGGTCAGTAGGAATCACTTCATTTAAAGAGTTAAGGCTGGTGCAGTTTTGCACAAAATGATCATCACTTTTAGCCAGGGCTTCAAGAATCTGTAGTAATACACGCACACACACACAAGTAAAGAAAACCTTCAAAATTAGCTAAATACAATTCTCACAAGTCTAGAACACAGAGTGACATTCCCTAGCACACTTCTTTTCACTGCCTGGGATTTCTATACTCAGTAAAACTCTCACCGCGAAGTGATGGACGTGTGTGTTTGTCCCTCGTGTTTTGCCTTCTGCTGGCTATAAAAGGTTACCTGAGGGAAGTGAGTGGACTTCAAAGACTGCCTGATGGACTAATCAGTATGCTCTGATGTGGGAACACATTGCCTATATTTTAGTCAGTTACTCAGAACTTTTTTTTCCCCTCAATTTGGTAGTAGAACAACACAAACTAAGGAAAACCTATAGAATGGCATCCTTACTTTCTACTGGGAGCCCAGTATAGAGAATGCAGACAACAAATGTTTGCTGAAGAAATGAATACATGAGAAGAAATTCTCTTACTAACATAAAATCAATGTCAGTTGCGGTATCTGAGCACCAGCTGATAAACATCAGATAAAAGCATCCATGTGATATTTTAATTAGTAAATCCTTTTGAACATTTGAATCAATTTTAAGGCAGCATTTGTGTGTGTTTGTGTGTATACCTACCACTGATCACTGGGAATTTCCAATGAATGGAGAATTATGTGTCATATTTATGATTGTTCAAAGATTGCAAGGGTTGATTGCACCCTTACCTGACATTTTCATAATACTGTACAAGACAATGTATAGATTCTATGTTTATTTGAGCTCCCTCACAGGAAGCTCCACTTCCCTGTCTTGCAGAATACAGAGTGTGAGTTTTTGGTTTAATCACTACTCTAGAAAGTAGAGCTCAATTTATCATTAGCTTTGTGATCTTGGTTCAATTTCTTAATTTCTTTGATACTCTTTTCTTCAAATATGAAATACAAGTATTTTCAGTACTTATACAGTTGTCATACATAAAATAATCCATGTAACTTCGCAAATTTGATATAGCTAGAAAATGGATAAAATAATGATAATAACCTGGGTCCAAACTTATATGGATTGCCTTGATAATATAACATATTTGGGCAGAGGTGGCATTTTGAACACACAGATGCTATATCGAAAGATACAGAGTGGTACAATGTCATCAGAATAACGCAGTTGTTTTGGAAGCTGACTTTCAGAATATAAAACAAAAAACATAAAATAAGTATTTTTGAAACAGTGCATTTGGATTTCTACATTATTTTCTGCCACTAAAATTTTAAAAAATACATACTATTAATGCTAAATCTATCTCAGCTACACACACACATAATGAAACAAGAAGTGACATGTGAATAAATAAAAGTAGTGAAGCTATATGTCATATTTCTTACTTGTAATACCTGAATCCTCACAAGGTGATATAAAAGCAGATGCAGGGGTGCCTTGGGGGCTCAGTTGGTTAAGCATCCGACTCTTGATTTTGGCTCAGGTCACAATCTGACATTTGTGGGATTGAGCCCCATGTTAGGTTCTGCACTAACCTTAGTATTCTCTCTCTCTCAAAATAAATAAACATTTAAATAAATAAATACAGATGAAATACTAAAACTCAGACCTGGGGAGTATCCTCCAACAGGAATTTTATTTATTCACCTGGTGAAAGGATCATGAAAAGCAAGCACAGGGCCATCTTTCACTAACCACATGTTTCATCCATTTGGATGAAAACTCTCTTACTCCCTATCTTGCTTTAGCCTAAAGACTAAGGGTGATATCCTTCCCAATTAAGAATCACATAAATGTCTGAAGATCTATTCATAAATGGATCACTGAGCTTTGTGAAATCATATGAAATAAACATGAGACTTGGAGAATTTGAAATTTCTTATAATACATTTCATGACTTCAAATACTTTTCAGAGGATTATCTACATTTAAAAAAGCACCACCTGTCATGAAAACCATCTGAAAGGTATTCATGATACTGCATCAACAGATGTAGCAAACTTGCTAAATGTAGAGAAGCCTTTGCCAAATCAACTAACATTTGCCTGGGCAAGAGTCCCATCTAACATAACACTGTACTCCAAAAGAGATCAATAAAAAAAGAAGATTGTATGCATACTGAGTAATGGGGGGGAAACAGAAAAGAAAGTTGAATGAGCTGACAGCTGAAGCATACACAGCTGTTTACGTTTTGGGAAGTGGGGGTGGGGGAGAGTTTCAGTTACTTTATTTAGAACAAAATCCCGTTTTCCCAGGATCATTCATACCTTGGCAGTGAGGCTGAAGAAACCTTTGGGCTCAATCATCTTCTCCACCACATTGCACTTTATCCCAGCTGTGCTGTCATACTCATACACAACACCATATTCCAGGTGGACGTTATCCACAGTCAGGCTCACGTGCTCCTTCTTCCCGTCGATGATGGCCATGGTGTTAAACTTGTCAATCACCTCTGGAACAAGGACAGTTTTCATTCAGCAAATTCAGGAAGGGTTTTGTTAGTCTCTTCAAATAATCTGAGTGTCTCTGAATAATGTTTAAAGATTTCTTTAAAGAATGGATAAATCTAATATTGTTGTTAACATTTCTGAAACAAGAGCACTTAAAAAACATATGTTTGAATGATCCAAATCTCACCATTCCAACATGACTAGTCTTTGCACATCCATTTTGATCTATCAACCATATGTATGCCTATTTATACCAATATAAACATTATATATACAATTTTATAATTTTTATTAAAAGCATGCATGACTTAAAGTCAGGGTTCCTAAAACTGCCTCAAACATTGAACGAATACTTGTTCAGAGGAGAAAAAACTACACAAAGCCATACGGAAGAAGCAGAAAGGAGATGCACTAATCATTTATTTCAGCAGACAGGATCCCTGAATTTTCCCAAACACCATCTTCTACAGATAGCTCACAGAGAAAATTTGTCATTGTCTGCTATAATAACTTTTTCATCTGGAATGTCTTCCTACAGGTTTTTGGCCTACAATCAATCCACTGATATAAAAACACAAAAATCTGAAGCAAGAAACCACTGAGAAACCTAACAACAAATATTAAATTAGCAAAAACAGAATATTAGTTAGATAAAAACAGTTAAGTCCTAGGATGGTAGAAATAGTAAAAATAGACAAAGGCAGAATAATGATTTATCTTAAAATAATTGAGTACCAGAATAGCTAGAAACCAATTATCAGAGCATCTCACCAACCCTTTCACTGTGGCACCAACGACGATGAGCAAAAATCAACTAACTCTAAACGAGGAATAAAGGGCTCAAGATAATGTCCTGAGATTTGTCCTAGTTTAAGTAAATAAGAAAGTTACTGTGTTATAACAATCTTGGTGCTCCAATGTGGTTGAAATATTTCTGATACTGTCCATGACCTGAGTGGTTCCTTCCAGGAGTGGAGGGAACACAGCTTTCCCTAAGTTGACCACCCCCGTATGATCAGTACAGGGGATTATGTAACTATGCTGGTTGGAAGAAACTAACAGTACCATAAAAATGTCCAATGATACCTACCAATAATATAAATGGAAAGATATCATGAAACTTTAAGAGAGGATTCAAAGACTTCTGTGAAAAAAAGTGTTGAAACAATAATTCAAGGTATTTGTCAAATGCAAACATAAATTTAATTGCTTCCATCCCTTTACCCTTGGCGAAGAAGCCACTGAATCCAACAATCTGTATCTGGTTTGTTTCACTGACAGAACAGAAACGATAGGAGTCCTTATCAAAAGACCTTTCTCTTTCTCTAATAATGTTTTCACATTATTAGTTTGTCTCAGTACCATTAATATTAGAATATAGTAAAAGTTACTTGAATCAAGAAAGCATTTTCAAAGGGACTATAGACCTTCTTTCTAAACTAGGACTTCAAATTTTTGCATGCATACAGATCCCATCTTGTCAAAATGGAGACTGTGATTCAGTAGATGGGTGGGGGTAGGATTCTGCATCTCTCCAGGTGATGCTGCTGCTGCTGCTGCTGGTCTGTGAACCACACTGGATTAGGAAGGTCTACACAACATTTAAACTCAAAACAAGAAAACTCATTTTAACTTGGGTTTGAATCCTCATCCTACCACTTACTGGCTTGGGCAAGTCCCTTAGACTAAGGGTTAGGTTAAAATAAGGATACGACACTAACACTTTTTTGAGAGTTTCCTTTTTAATGCCTTTATGAGATAATCCATGTAAAACACTTAATAAATTGCCAAACAAGGTGCAGTAGCTATGACGTGTTAGTGACTATTATTACTTATGTATTTCACATAACATTTATTTGGAGATTATGACTTAAGAAAGTGGCTTGAACATACAAGATTTTCAATAATTGGGACAAGGCACAGGCACATTAAAAAACAATACTACTGTAAGCAAATGAGGAGTGATGTGGGAAACAAAAGCAAATGAAATATTACACTTCCTTACTGCCTACAGCCTATTGACAAGTCCTTGGAATAGGCAGAGTGACCTTCCTCTGGCTCAGCTGCCTCAATGATGACACTTTGCTAAGGGCAAAGGGAATCTTAGCCTGACCCCCCACAGGATCCTGAAAGTCTACTTTAACATATAAACTTCCTTTGAGAAGGAACATACTTAAAGATCATAAAAGCGGGGCGCCTGGGTGGCTCAGTCGGTTAAGCGTCTGACTTCGGCTCAGGTCATGATCTCATGGTCTGTGAGTTCGAGCCCCGCGTC